AATATGACTGAAAACTGGAAAAATTTTGTGTCTGATAAACATAAAGGGGAAATGGATGTAATGTCGGCCTAAATGCCTCTAATTTGGGCCCATACATAAATTCAGCAATCTTCTAAATTTTCAATAGCGATCAAAAATATCCATTAGTACCGTCCCAATAACGCGTTCAACTAGATAAAATTGATAAATAGCAGATTTTTTGCGATGGGCCCAATCTTAGATCCATAGGCCAACATTAGAGCCATTTCCCCTACCACTTTTAATGCGAACAAAATTTACCGTAAACTAAAGGGTGTCCACGATGAAATTGCCACACACAAAATTGATTCGCAAAATTCGAGTTTTCATCCGATTGCCATCAAATTTTCAGGGATTGAGAAATAACTATTAAACTTCATTTTACCATTTTACTCGTATTTTATTTACAGTCCATACGCAAATGCCCGCACCTTGGCCTTAACCCCGGCCATAAGATTCTGCACAACCTGTGAATCAACCGTTTTTTGCATGTAAACCCATACTTTCTTCAGTTCCTCGACTGTCTTCACTACCTTAGGTCGTTTAAGAAGGTGCTGCCTCATAATCGCCCAGTACTTCTCGATGGGGCGGAGCTCCGGAGTGTTGGGAGGGTTGAACATTTTCGGCACGAAATTGACCTTATTGTCCGCATACCACTTCAGCACGTCCTTGGAGTAGTGGCATGAGGCCAAATCCGGCCAGAAGATTGTTGGGACGTTGTGGGCCTTCAGGAGAGGAAGCAGCCGCTTCTGGAGGCACTCTTTTATGTACACCTGTCCGTTCATCGTGTCCTGGGTCACGAAAGGTGCACTCCGCTTCCCGCACGTGCAGATGGCTTGCCAAACCAGGAATTTCTTCGCAAATTTGGACATCTTCTGAGTGCGGACATGCTCCGGAACGCTGAACTTATCCTTGGCCGTGAAAAACAGGTTGCCGGGGATCTGTTTGAAGTCGGCCTTCACATATGTTTCGTCGTCCATGATGCAGCATTCAACTTTCGTCAGCATGTTGAGGTACAACTTCCTGGCACGGGTTTTGGCGGACTTCTTCTGCTTCTCGTCGCGATTAGGGGCCTTTTGTACCTTGAACGTTCGAAGCCCAGCCTTAGTTTTGGCCTTCTGGACAAAACTTCGGCTAGGTGCAGCTTCTTAGCCACATCCCTAACGGAGGCGTTCGGATTTCGGTTGAAGGCCCCAACTACGCGGTTGTGATTTTTGGTGTTGTACGGAATACTTTTTCCTTCACTTCTGGGCTTCTGATCGGTGGTCAACCGTTCCTCAAACCGCTTAATCACTCGCGACACCGTGGAATTCGCGATTCCCAACGTTTTACCGATGGAACGATGCGAGAGATCCTTGTTCTCGTGATGAATGCGCAAGATTTTATCACGCACGAGCTGTTCTTTCGACCCCATTTCCGCGAGTTTTGATCACAGGACTTTAAAACTTGCAGGATGTAAATAATGCACTATGAACTAAAACCACCCAAATTTTCATTAAATTCTACCCAACGGTTAAAAAATTAGAGCAATTTCATAGTGTGGCAATTTCATCGTGGACACCCTTTACACCAATATCAACAAGCATTGCAAATTAGCAAAATGGGAAATATTGAAATGTTGGCCATATTCGAAAATACAATTGTATAGTTAAAATAATTTTACTACTGAAATTACAAATTCAATTCCAAAATTCCACGTTCAGGGAAGGCCTGCTGAAGCTCAGGGAAGTCTTGCCGAATTTCAGGAAAGGCCTTCTGAAGTTCAGGGAAGTGTCCTGCCGAAGTTCTGAGAAGTATTGCCGAAGTTCAGAGACGTCCTGCTATAGTTCAAGTAAGTCATGCCGAAGTTCAGATAGTCCTGCCGTACTTCAGGGAATCCTACTGAAATTCAGGGAAGGCCTGCCGAATTTCAGGGAATTGCGACTTTCGCTTTTACCGTTCCCACCTTGGAATATATCTAACGCTTGGTTTCAATGACACTTCTTCGGATGTTTACTTTTGACTTCTTCTCAAGCTTCCAGCATTGGAACCGAATAAAAATATACACTTGCATTAAGAGGATATCCACCAAAAAACATTTCGTACTTCAACGAGATGAAGAAATAGCCACCTAATGTCTTCAGCAAACTTTCTTGTTTTGATATTTTCTAAAGCTTTGCCGTAGACACCGATCCTGAATATGGAGTTTTTGGAACAATAAATCCACCCAAATTCCCTCGCCTTGGCTAGTTTTTTAACCTGGACGTTGGTGGGCGGGCCTAATCTTATGCTTCATAGTGGAGCGTTGGAGACGGTTGGTTTAGGTCCGGCATCGTTGGCTCATGCCGTGACAGAATAGCGTCATGAGCATGCGATGAGGATTACTGAGCTTCCCCTCTTCGATGAATCATTGCATAAGAGAACCAAAGTTCTAGCCTGAAGTGATAGTATCACACTTGTTACTCCTTTATTTGAAAGCCGCGTTGTAGTACGCTTACATATAGGCACTGACGTTGGGTGCGATACTGGCGGGTTTTGCCGCAAATCACTCTTATTTTATTTATTTTTACGCAGATAGATTTATTTGGGTTTGCAAGGGAATTATACTATTGAAATATTTCAGAAAGTGCCCAACAGTGCTCCTTCTACTTGCGTGACAAGCTTTCGTTGTTGTTTTCATTGAGGTATTACTCAGGGAACAATGTTAAACGCCATTTTTGTACATGGTATTGCAACTAATCTTATATGTGCTTCATTTTGATTTCGGATAAGTGTTTGAACTATGGCTCGGGATTTCCACTGTGACGTGCTTCTATTGTGACATAACCATACGTATTTTTGTGATGGGACATAGTGGAAACGTGTGAGCGTAGTTGAAGCTACCCTATGTAATTTAAAAATCAGCTAGGAAACTAACTTCAAAGTGAAGCATTTTAGTCACTTGAAGGTGTCACCTGGAACGAACTAATATATATTAAATATAGGTCAAAGTCAAAAACAACTTGAAACACGTTAAATTTTAGATTACATTCACAAGTGCAGGTACTTAATAAAGCATGGTAGGTAGATTAGAGATTTCAATTATTTATTAAATTAGACTAGAGATATCATAATCATCAAACGAACATAAATAAGAAAATTTAGACAGCCTAGTAGTATTAAGTGGATTAACAGAAGAGTTAGGATGCGGAGGGTCCGCTTAGGGAGGCAACTAGCCTTTAAAGCAACTGGCAACTAGCCTTTTCATGTATTGTTTGTTTATTTTGATTATTGCTTTAAAATATCAATTTGGTATATATGTGAAAGGATGAATCAGTGGGAGATGGATTTTCGGTTTCTTTACATTTAGTATCACTATGTGTCATTTCCTCAAAACCCCCCAATAACCGGCCTCTTCAATCCCTTCTTTTTCCCATGGCGTTCAAGTGGTCCGCATAGACTATTCAGCCATTACCCGTCCTTTATCCTCGGCTTTGGATTGACTTGCGCTCCCATTGCCCCACCAAACGCTGCAAAATGAAAATGAAAATGAAAAATGAACTAAATCCACCCAAATTTTCATTAAATTCTACCCAACGGTTAAAAAGTTAGAGCAATTTCATAGTGTGGCAATTTCATCGTGGACACCCTTTAGAAAACGTTGGTACATGTTCATGGCATTTCCAGATCGGGATATCTCGTGAACTTGGTCATAAAATGTTACCGTCTTCAGCAAAGATTTTCAGATGACCATGGTCTTCTGTATGTTATATAAGTTAGTTCAGAATTCTATCACTACGTGGCGCTAGCGTCCATATGATCTTCCTGCATATGATCTTCCTGCATATATCTTAACATCCTGACTGTGTAAGAAGATGCTATCTTCGGGAAAATTGGTCAGGTGATAAAGACCCTCAGAATGCTAGACAATTTAGTTCTGAACGAGCTCACTATTTAGCACTATTTTACAGCTAACCCTCCATATATACGCATAATACGGACTGCATATAAGGAAATGGGAGCATATAAGATTTGGCTTAATTAGTTCCATCATGGAATATCTCGTGATCCTGGATATATAAAAGGTTTCTATCGTGGACAAAGTTGTTCAGCGGATCAAGGCCTTAAAGTTGGTGGATAGTAGTTCAGAATTTGCTCACTACGCGGCACTAGTATATACATGAATTTTTGTATAAGCTGTATCTTGAGATCCTTGCCATACGAAAGGTTACTGTCTTCAGCACAATTGTTCAGGTCACTATGTCCTTATTAGTTCAGAACTTTCTCACTGCAGTGAATTTTTGTGTAAGCTTTAATGGCTATAAAAGTGGATAACAATAGGGAGATTTTAACGGACACGACGTGTATAGGCCGGAAATAGATGGTTAACGCCATTTTGGATTCCAAGACGGCGACTTCTGGCCAGTGCTGCGTGCTGTCAAAAATGTCAATTGACGTAATATATTGGTCTGGCACTGAATTTCACCTACCCGTGTCCCCTCGAGATCGTCAAGTCGACGATAACAGGAGCATATACCGTGGTAGAGGTAACAATAGCTGCAATTTCCAAACCTACGACTGGATGCCTTCCTTCAGATAACAACTGGGGGAGTTTGGTAAAGAGAGATGATAAAACCGATTTGTACCTTCCTAAAGTTGTGCTAGCTCGCTTTCTACTCTATATGCAATTTTCACACTGTCGCTCTCTAAACGGAACTATCAATTCTATACTTTCATCTCCTCATCTACCACTTACCACTTTAGTATGTTATTTAAAATCAGCATCTTCAACTATGAAACTGAATTTCACTTCCGACACTGATATTCGTAGTAAGCTTAATATCAGGCGGTACGGCTTTGATATTACTATCCACATGAATATCACTAGGGAAAACATTCTTACTTTTATCTCAATAAATTAACTTTTTTGTATAGCAGTTGCATTGTTTAATATTACTGATGAGTTTTCTAAAGATTGTCATTCGATTAGCTGGCGTATATAAGAAACATTTGCGGCAGAACTTTGAATATCAGTGGTCCCTTTACGATGTCAATGTAATTTGCGCACTGACACTGAGGCGAATGATATTGATAATCTAACTGTGTGAACTGATCCTGACATCAAGTGGCTAGTGAAATTCAGAATTTTGTAGTTATTGATTTTGTAGCACTGCTAGTGAAAAAGCGTAAAATATCACACAATATGGCTATTTTTGGAACGAGGACGACGTGTAGAGGTCGGAAATAGAGGATTGACGACATTTTGGAATTCATGATGGTGACTTCAAATACCCTGCAATATGGGTGTTTTCGGAACGGGAACGACGTGAAGAAGCTGAAAATAAATAATTGTCGCCATTTTAGAATCCAAGATGACGACGTTCGGTTTGTGACAAAATTTGAAATACCCCACAATATGGGCATTTTAAGAACGGGATGACGTGGAAATGCCAGAAATATAGATAATTGATGCTGTTTCAAAATTAAAAAAAAACGAAAGTTGCCGTCTTGGATTCTAAAATGGCATCATCATCCATTTCCAGGCTCTATATGTACTCAATTACTGCACTATAAGTACTCAGTCTTACAAAAAGTGTACACGGTAAAACCGGGGTACCCAATGTTTGAATCCCTTTTTTCAATATTAACTTATATCAACTAATTCTGCTGGGTATTTGAGTTTTTTTTTTTTTGTTTTCTAAAACCGAGGACTACGATCTTGAATTCCAAAATTATGTCACACATTGATTTCCCGTAGAGGCAGTCGTCTCCGTTCCAAAAAATCCCAAAATGTAGGTATACAGGAAGCTCACACCGCTTAGTGAGAAAATTCCGAAACTGTCGATCTATGGGAGGGTGGTGGGCGAGACACTTTGCCTCCCGAATAATTTTCAGATTCTCATATAGACACAGTGGCGCCAATTTGGTTTGAACATTGGGGGGAAAAAATCACTTTTTGCGTCTAGTTTACATGAGAATATGAAAATTAAGGTTAAAGATCAAAACAGCAGAATTCTCTTCGAAATGTTAAATAATAGAGCACTAATAACAGGGTTTCGACTACCTGGAAAACATGGCAAATCTGGGAATATCAGAGAATTCATTTTTGGACCTGGAAAATCATGATGAATTTAAATGACATTCAGGGAAATATTTCTTAACCACAGAAGTATGTGTATTTTAAGGATGGTCTAAAATTTTAAATAGAGCTGCGAATTTGTGGTTGCTCAATGCTTGATGTGGCATTTTTGCAAGTTAAGCAAGAATTACTAAAACAAAAGGGTATTTTAATGATTTTGCGCCTAATATAAATTTAGCTCTTGCTGGGTGTTGACACATTCCTGAGTTAAACTGAGATCCTGAGGGTTGATAAAAAATCTATATCCGTAGACACTAGACGTTGTTATTTGTTGCAAATATATCCTCCAAATGGGTATGTGCGTCTCTTAATAGATGTTACGACTGATTGCATCTGGCGTAGATCCTTTGGGTGCATTGGAGCGCTTTTTAACGAATTCAAGACTGATAAAGAGTTAAGAGGAGATATTTTTTTCTGATCACTTGTAGTTCTTGTTCTTTATTGCCAGCCTGACTAGCTCAGAGAATAAACTAAATGAGTATTTACGATAATGGCTTTGGAATAGCACTTTTATGATTGAATAATGATTCAAGAGACGTAGACTAACATTGCCTCAACAGCATAGAGTGGCGTTATTCAGTATTCTAATTCTTCATTATATGCTTGGAAAATTATATTCTCAATGAAATTTTAGACATTGAGATGGTAGCAGTTTCCTTCACACATCACTATTAATCATGAATTGAACTGATTCCCTGGCGCTTACAATTTGTTAATTTATAAAAATGCGGTGCCTTCCGTATTTTGGAAACAAGCGATTTCTTTCTTTTTTGCATCCTATAAAATGTATCGAACACTTTATTCAATTTTAGATTGTACTATACCACTCTTCATGGGTTAGAGGTCCATGTGCTATTTCATGATAAAATGTCCATAATGCACTACCCAACTAAAATTTTTGGCTGCTAATACAGCCAAAAATTCCTTTATGCAGCTAATTTGTGCCTTACAGGCTGGTCTGCACCTGGAATTGTTTGTTGAGTAGTACATATCTGAGGAAAGTAATTGCTGATGAGGTCATGTTGACAAAACCATGTAGACACCATACAAGGATTTTTTAAATTACTGGAAAATTAGGGAATATCAGGGAATTTGATTTTCTTCATTGAGTCGACACCCTGAATAAGCTTGAACCTCCAAATAATTTTCAGACTAGAGACTTGTAAAGTGTTATAAGCGGTTTTCGTGTCCAATTGTTCTTTTTTTTTTTTGTAAGCAATACATATCACGTTAGAACTCCAAGAGTCACCGGAAATTAATCTACATTTCAATTAAACAATTTTAAATTTTTGATCCAATTTAAATAGAACACATAATCTACATAGTTCAGAAATCATAAAGAATTCTTAAGCTTAGGTTTCGTAATTCTCAACACAAGATTGTGTAGAGAAAAACAACATTATCCATAACTTGTTATTCCTTAAAAAAAAATAAAGCAAAACTATAATGTAAAATCAATAAAATAATAAAGTAAATTCCCGGGTATTTCTTGGTCTTCCCGGTTCGCTGGCTACCCTGGATCCACTTTCTAAATGCAGTCGTTTTCAAGAGATTTTTTATTAGCTCAGCAAGACCCATTTTTTCATGAAAAAACCCCCATTTCACTAGTTAAGTGTAATTCTCCATCATCAACATTTTTGCCCTTCCTGGCCTGGAAGTGCTTAGGTGAAGTAGGATTACTTTACCGCGCGGATTCAATTCATGAATGAATATCGAATCTTCATTATATAACAATTAAATTACATTATAGGAAATTTAAACACAAATCCACTAATCACCTGTCCCACATTTTCAATGTATCGTTTCATACACCATATAACCAAAAGACAAAAAAAACACCCGCATAATCGAAGGAGCATCGAGGAAAAACAACATGGCTCAATAATACAGTGAACCCTGCTAAAGTCGATAAGGACGAAACTTCTCCTCACGGAAATATCGAAAACAATGAATTTATGAAAAAGCTATTGAAGACACCATATCCCCGGATAGATCATCGACTCACTGGAGAGTTCACTGTTTCTATGAAACGAGAAGCAAAACAGCCGCTGTAGTCTATAGACTATCAATCAAACGATTTTTTGCCTTTCATTTCCACAGAGTGCCTCCTGGTGCGATGGGATCAGGCACTTGTCGCTTCTGCCACTGCTGTTCTGCAACAGAGCATACATAGACACACACTCATTCGGAAACCTGGGGGCACGTGTTTGTCACGCAGTTTTACCACTCAATAGAGTCAACCTGTCCCCTCTTCTCCCTCCGCCTCCTTCCGCTTCCGTTTCCCCCCCACAGAAGTACAGCGGGAAAGAGACCAAAATCACGAATCTCACACTCCGTCTGAGTCTGACATTGGAGCTGTATGATTGCCATGGTATAACCACGGTAAAACTGTGGGCGGGTCAAAGGCTACACCATCATCGGCATACCACTGGAGACGGTCACCAGAAGGCCCGTGAAAAAGTGAAAATAATCATAAATCATTGAGCTGGAAACAAAAGGAATCATTTGTGCGCCGAAGAGTGACCAACCATACATACTTATTACACACACACACACAGGTTTACATACAAGGCGCGAAATGGCCAGAAAATGTGTGCCCGAATGTGCGGAGAAAATTATTATTCCATCATCACCAGCGACACCCCCCAGAGGCGATTGTGTATGCCAGGCACGCGATTCAGGATTCATTACCATTAGTGACGCTCGGCTCGGTCGTTGTCGATATTGTCGAGAGCGCGCGGACAGGTGCTTCCTGTGTGACCTTTCTGTTCAATGGAATTTGATTATGTGAACTCATGCGCTATCGTTTTTGTTTCTTTTGTTTGTGGTGTTTCGATGACCTTCTTCATTACGATAACTGCCGGGAGAGTATGATGAAATGAAAATCCATTGAAAACAGTGTTATTGAAATTAAAAGTATATACAGACAAACTGAAGCAGGAAATCATCGGAAACAGTCGGGTAGGAAGCAACTGACTTGTACCAACGAAAATGCATCAGGATGCAGTGCTAATTTATTCCAAGCACGTCATTCCGGCGTACACCGAAGCGATGACACATGATCGAAATGAGGAGGACACGAGAAAAATTAAAACAAATATTCCCATTATGGTCCCGGATCGGATGGGTACACACGTCATCGAGTCACCGCATCGGGCCGCCCGTGATGGAATGCACAAATTCTCATTGTTGGAATTATTTTGCTGGCCCTGAATTGCTCAGTGTCACAGAAGTTGTTTGGATAAATCCCGTACAGAGAAATTCATGCACGGTAGAGCTTTGTTATTCATGCATAAAATGACTTTTTTTTAAATGAACAAACTCGAATATTGAAATGGAGATTGGAAATATTTGGTTGGTTTTATTGCGATGCTTTTCCATTTCAATGCAAATACATCTGCAGCAAAAAAAAATACAGTTTTGGTCGAGGTAGAAGAAAAACCTATTCAAAACGATGAACGATGAAATTGTTATAAAATAAAATGTGAAACTGGAAGGTATTGGTGGACCTTTTTGAAACTTTTTCCTTAAATTAATCATATAATCAATAATAATAATAAAAATAATAACGATATAATTGATTCCCAGGATGTCACGGGTATTTCAATAAAAAATAACATTCTAACAAACATAACAACTCAATGAAACATATTAGATCAATTAATAAATTAAAAGAAACAACGAAACAAGCCTTTTTAACATGCTACGTTGAAAATAATAACATAATTATCTGCTTACCCTGAGACCTTTAAGCTTGTCATGAAGTTTTCAGGCCTAATTCTGATAGTTTACTGGGAATCATCTTGAAAGTACTCTAGAGTTGCCCTTGAAATCCTCTGGGCTAGTTCTGAAAGGCTTATATTATTTGCTCAGCTTGCATTGGGCATAATGATGATT